AACGCTAGTAGACTGTGTTTAGTTCATGAAATTAAAATATTTGGATATCATATCAGATATTTCGAAGATGTCGGAAAGAGTTTTTAGATACTAATAAAAAAACTAATTACATAGTGCGTCTAGAAACTGCGAGACGAATTTATTAAGCCTAATTAATCTATCATTAGAGCATGCTAGTACTGTAGCACTTATAGCTAATCATGGACTAATTAGTCTTAAAACATTCGTCTCGCGATTTTCAACCAAACTGTGCAATTAGTTTTTTTTTATCTATATTTAATACTTTATACATATGTCGTAAAATTCAATGTGATAGTTTAGAGTGAAAATTTTTGGAACAAACCAGACCTTACCTGAATGCAAGTTTGCTTTGCCATGTAACGTCTTGTCACTCGCTGCCCTGCCAACTTCAGCCTTTGTCGTGAAAAGTTTGATACGCTGGTGCGCCAAAGTACATTCGAACTGCAGGTGAGTGCATCTCCTTTTTTTTTCCCTCAGCAACACAGTGCATTTCGATAAAAAAAAAGTAAAATACTCCCTACAGTACATAAAAAATAGTAAAACTCACGTTTCAACCCTGTCAATCAATCCCAACTTTAATCATTCATATTAATAATACTACTATTATTATTTTATTAATCATGGAATATATTTTCACACTAAACCTATTTGTAGAATGTTGATATAGTTGCTATAAACCTAATAAAAATATTGATATTCATTGACTCCTCAAAAACGATATTAATATTCTTTTTTCACAAAATGAGTAAGAATTTTGGATCCAGTCAACTAATAGTTAATTGTTAGATATGGAAAGCCAGCTATGCTATTGTAAAGCCTTGTGTGGATTCTCCTACTACTACGTAGCTGCATTTAGTTAGGCAAAGCTAGCTAATGGACTAACAGCATTGTAAATTTTTACTTGAGCTATTAGCTAATTGTTTGGGTACACTATAGTTAATTTGAGCCACTAACTATTGGCTACCTAGATCCAAATACCTTCTAAGTACTGCCTTCGTTTTAAATATTTCATATTGTTTGAGATATGCAACCACAGATTTGTTTTGAAGTTATGAGTTTTATTGTGTTAAATTTCTTGAGGGGCTATACAATTCTTGTGAAAACATACTACTTTGTAATATCTTTTGAGTTAAATGCATGAGCAGTTCCGAATTTGTCAAGGGGTGACACTTTGGCTAGTCTCAGTGGTGGTTTCAAAAGAGTTTCATTCTCATTTAAAACCATGACACATCAACAGATTTGCTTAGTTGGCATGGTATTTATAGGAAAGAGAGAAATAGTTCATAAGATGAAACCCACCATCACAATGAAACCTCCATCGAGACCGATTTGTTTTATTCTCATGCACTCTCAATGATCTTTGTGCGAGATAAGTGAAGAATTGTTTGCGACTGCAAGGCTATATCATTACTACACAAAATATTTTGCAAGGCGTTTTGAAATTGGCCTCAGAGGCCGGCAGGATTTTAAACCGCCTCGGTTAATGCTTGGGATTAATCGAGGCGGTCATAGTCAACCGCCTCGCAAAATCAATTTACCGAGGCGGTTAAAAACCTAAAATCTATTAACCGAGGCGGGCATTAAAAGAGGCCCGCCTGAGAAAATCAGGCCATTTCGGAGGCGGGCATCTTAAATGGCTCGCCTCGAAAAAAAGCCGAGGCCCAAATAGGCCCAGTGAGGCCCGATAGCATCTTCAACTATAAAATGTAAACTTTAGGGTTTCCTGGCCCTCTCTCACTCTCTCTGTCTCACCGCCTCCCTCTCCCTTCGACTCAACACCGAGCGCGACTCCCTCTCCCTCCGACTCAGACACCGAGCTGCGTCTCCCTCTCCCTCCGATTCGACACCGAGCGCCCCCTTCCCATCTCGCCGCCCTCTCCCCTTCCCCTCTCGGCGGCACCCCCTCCCCATCTCGCCGCCCCTCCCCTCCCCTCCTCCCTCTGGCGCGAACCCGAGGTGGGGATCTGGTGGAGGCGGCGGCCCTCCTCCCTCCGGATCCAAGGCGGGAGATCCGGTGGCTCGTTGCAGCGGTGGCCAGCGGCCCTACTCCGTCAAGATTCGGTGGCGGCATGCCTTCTTTCCCGGAGCAACGGCGGCGGTAGATCCGGCGAGCCCGAGGCGAAGATGCAGCGAATCCGGTGGCGGCGCTCCTCCCCTCCTCTCCCGGCAGCGGCGTAGTGGCTAGGGGCCGTAGCCGCGCCCTTGTTCCAGATCCGGCGGCGCTCCTCCCCTCCCCACCCTTCAGCTCGTAGATCCAGCAGTACGGGCAACCGGTTCTCGGCGGCGTGTAGCCCGATCCGGCGGCGTGTGGCCGGATCCCGAGCGGGCGGAGGCCGGATCAGGCGATGGGCGGGCGTATCCCGGCGGCCCGACGAGGATGCGTCACCGACGAGCGGCGGTGGCGGCGGCGCTGGATGGGCTCGGTGGGCCCATGAATTGGATCGCCGGGCTTGTCCATGGATTTTTTTTTTTTTTTTTCTTTTTTATTTGATTAACCAAGGCGGGCAACCAACTGCCTCGGAAAATACTTCATTTACCGTGACCTTTGAACCGAGGCGGTTGTGATGCTCACCTCGGTTAATCACTTTTGTCCTGCCTCGGCAAAGTTTCCTGTAGTAGTGTATATTTCATATGTCACATTTAATTGTAGCACCATATAATAATTAGTAAGTGATATGACTAGCCTATGGAAATGTGTATTGAGGTGGACTATTTCATTCACTTGTAAAAGTTGATGTAGCATTTTTGGTAATCGTGTATTGAAGCTCTGCATCGAGATTTGTCTTAGGTCCTGAAAACATATTTCTGGGTGCCTAAATTTGTTAAATGGTGCATACATGACATCGTGTGGTGGTCCGACTTAAGAACTTTAGGGACACAAGAATGTGTTTTCAAAGGTTGTAAACTTAATTGATATACTTTGACAAATTCAGAGACTGCTCATGCATTTAACTCATAATTTTATTGCCCAAGGCAGTGACTAGAGTAAACCAAGAAAGTTAAGTTCCAAGGAAGGTTAAGAACCATTTAATTGTGAATTGAGCAGAGCTCAACTCGTTAGCTTCATTGTAGTGAAATTTGTTGACCTAGGTATGTGCTCACATTTTTCTAATTTTATTTTAGAATTTAACGGTGTTATACTTTTAGGGATACACAGTGTATCCGTGACCAGGGACATGGATATCAACCCGTCTTATCTTAATTCTGGCTAGGCGAGAATACTCAGATGATACCAAGCAACAATTAAACTATTTTTTGGCTCCGGTTTTTTGGAGCATGTTTGGCCCCGTTGCAAAAATGCCAAATCGCCGGCAGTCAACGTCTGGTAGTACCACATTCAGCTTCACATTTTTGGCCTTGTTGGGCTCTCATTCAGGCTTTGTTTTTGACCCAATCGAGGCTATCAGGCCCGGAAGCCCAGATGATGTTTTCCATATCATCGAGATGCCGCGGCCGCTCCATTCCGTCTGTGTCACACATCCCCCACGCAATGGCGTCCTCTCCTCTCGCACCCACCCGGGCATACTCGCCCCTAGTGTCCAAGCTGCCGCGTCCCTCGCCCCCATCCCCGTGTAGCTCTCCTCGTCGCAGTGCACGGTGGCCGCGCTCGGCGAGAGCCAGAGCGACTCCGGGCAGCAGCTCGACCGCGGCGGCGACGGAGGAGCAGAAGGAGCGGAAGAGGTGCCTCAGATGCGGCGAAGTTTACCGAGACGGGGAGAACCACCCGACCGCCTGCGCCTTCCATGGCCACATCACAGGTGGAGTATTATCCTCTCATCCGCTGTGCTCCAGCCTACGGTGGGCTGCATACAAAATATCTTCTCCTCGTAGGTATTTATTTGGGCTTTATACTTAATCTTAGGAAAAAGTCTACGTTACTTCTCTAATTTTCGTGAAAGTCTGTTTTTTCTCTCTGAACTCCAAAATTAAGCAAAACACCTCCATCAACTTTTAAAATCGTTCATCTTACCTCTCTGTCCCTGTTATAAGCGGTTTTAAAAACGGTTTTGTCTTTTTCTTTTTTATTTATTTCGCCTGAATCTTTAAAAAATTATAGTAAATCATAGAAAAATCATAAAATAGAAAATCCAATTTTGTTGGACTTCATATGAGTAGATCTACACAGTAAATATATAATATGGTATGCTTTAGTATAAAGTTTTTGTTGTGGCTTTAGATCGATGTTTTTCTGTAATTAATTGGAATAATTCATAACTGCAGTTTCTATAGTGCAATTGTGATGAAATTTTTATGGCAGACTAATTATTGTATGATTGAACTATAGTAAAAGTTTCATACTCATTGGATCATGTATAGCTTAGTTATAGATTTATTTATATTTAACAAGAATAAACCTAAATAAAATATATAACTAAGTTATACATGATCCATTGAGTATGAAATTTTTACTACAATTTAAGCATACAATAATTAGCACACCATAAAAATTTTATCATAATTGGACCATAGAAACTGCAGCTATGAATTATTCCATTTAATTACAGAAAGCATAGATCTAAAGCTACAATAAAAACTTTGTACTAAAGCATACCATATTATATGTTCATTGTATAGATTTACTCATGTAGAGTCCAACAAAATTGGACTTTCTATTTTATGATTTTTTATGATTTATTATGATTTTCAAAGATTTAGTCAAAATAAATAAAAATAAAAAGACAAAACCGCCTTCGAAACCGGTTATAACTAGGCCCGGGAGGTAAGATAATCAGTTTTAAAAGTTGAGAGGTGTTTTGCCTGGTTTTGGAGTTCAGGAAGAAAAAACGAACTTTCATGAAAATTGAGAGAGGTAATGCAGACTTTTTTCTTAATCTTATATAGACCCACATGTCGACCCATGACTAATGTAGATGCAGGCCCATACAAGCCCATATATGCCACCCAATGTTGAGGCCCGTTATCTGAGCTCGTGTGTAAATCTTGCCGTGTGCGTCGCAGGCGAGAAGGGGTTGTTCTCTATGTCGCCGCCGCACCAGGGCATCGACGGCGAGTGGAGCGACAAGAGCGGGATCATCGTGTACCGCTGGAACGACGAGGGGAGCCGGCCCAACACCGGCCGCGCAAACTGGAAGAAGCGCTGGAGCTGCTGCCAGGAGCGCGAGGAGGACGCGCCGCCGTGCCAGCGCGGGTGGCACGTCTCCTACGACGACGGCTATACCCTCTTCTAGGTCTGTACCCGTGGGGAGCACCATATTGCTCTGGCAGCTGTGCCAATAAAATCTTGTAGCAATAAGATGACAAACTTCTTTGATGTCTATTATTACTTGGACTAGTACAAAAGACAAGCATCTTATGCCAAGACAAGCATCTAGTCGAACTGATGATGTTGGTTGCCTTGAGTCCTCGACGCCGAGCTGCGATTTCTGCTTTGCTCGCCATGACCGAATGAAAGCATGTCCAAGGCCCAAGGCCCAAGGCCCAGGCTCGACAGCAAAACACGGTTGAAAAAAATATAATAATAACGAGCTTGGCGAGTGAGGTTTAATTCCCCGCGCCACGCGAATATTCCTCTCCTCTTCTCCGCCTCTCGACAGTCGACACCCCACGCTGGCGCTACGTGGCTCCAAGGTCCTGGCTTCCATCCCGCTCCACCGCTCTCGCTGGCTGACCGAGAACCGCGCGTCCCCCCCCTCCTACCTCGCCGCACGCTACCATGGTGGTCTCCTACACGCAGGAGCACGTGTACCGCCACCCCTGGCACCGGGTCACCGCCGCGGCGTGGCGCAAGTTCACGGACCCGGCGGCGCGCGCAGCCTCCGGGGCGCTCTCCCACATCCTCGACGTCCACACACTGTCCCGCGACGTCGACGCGCGGTCGGGCCGGCTCTGCGCCATGCGTGCCATCGCGGGCCGGACGCCGCCGCTCCCGTTCCTGCTCCGCGGCGTAGCGGGAGGAGCGGGCGGCGACGTGGTGGTGCTCTGCGTCGAGCGCACAGACGTGGACGCGCCCGCGCGCGACATGCGGGTGGCCTCCCGCAACGCCACCCTCCGGGGGCTCGTGGACGTGCAGGAGCGGTGCAGCTACGAGCCCCACCCGGCGCGGCCCGACGAGTGGACGCTGTTCCGCCAGGAGACCACCATCCGGTGCGCGCCTCTGGCGGCTGTGGCGGCCAAGGTGGCTGAGCTCGTGGAGCGGCGCTGCGCGGAGAGGTTCACGCAGAACGCGGACAGAGGGAAGGAGGTCGTGGAGAGGATCTGCGAGGACCTTGCAGCGGAGCAGGACTCGCTCACCCACTGAGGTACAAGCGGAACGGTGACCAAGCGTGGTGTTTTTGCCAATGCTGATGCTTGACAGTGCTTTGCTGTGTGCAGACTGCAGAGGCTTTGGTGATGTGTGAATAAAAAGTGAAATTTTCCCCTGTTTAAACCTATGGCTCGTGTCGTACTGCCGTGTAGTATGTGGATAGTGCAAGCACATGTGGCAAGGTGCCCTTCTGAATGTTTCTAGCACGAGATTTTGTGCAAAGTTATGAAGTAAAAAAGCAAAATTCTGAATCGAAAGCTGATTTTTTGGACCAGAAAAAAGGAATGTATCTACGTGTTGCCGCATGCCCTGCGCTGGACAGTCAAAGCAGAAAGGCTGAAAATGAAGTACTGAACTTTAGGTGTCGATCCATTGCACAATTCGCATGACTCAGATGAAATTGAAGACTAAACGAAAAAAAAGGAAACAGCGTCAAAACCGGAAGGGGTCCCCTTTGAAATGCAGTAGTAATTTATAGAAATCACAAAGGCTTCGTGGTAATCAGTTTAATTTCATAGGAAAAATACAATTTAGAGAATTTTCGTACATACCAAAGGGGCCGAAAAATCTGAACGGATGCCCTGACCTGAAGCCATTTCTTGTGTCAGCGTCTCTCAGCCTGACCACTGCATCCTACACTTTGTTATCTAAAAACGGCATGTACACATCGAGCATCCTGTGCGCCAGAAAGCAGCAGTAGCTGTCGCCGTGAGGGGGTTCAGTTCGTGATTCCAGGTATCCAGAATAGATATCTACTATCCTGTGTGGCAAAACCATCTTCCTCATCTGCTGGTGTCTTGCACAACTTGGCGACGTGTCACATAGTGCTACCAATCCAGATAATATCTCGCCGGATATGGCCTTCGTTCTCATCCTCGCTGTCAGATCACGGAAGCTGCACTGCTCGATCTCCCACCCTTTCGAGCGACGGACCGGCACCGGCGCGCGCGCATGCGTTCTCTGGTGCGCTCCGCAGCTGGCCCCTGCAGCGCAGGCCGGCCGACGGATCCGAATCCGATGTCGGCAGCGCGCGCCCGCTGTTCACCGTGCGATCGTGATCATGAAAGCGCATTTGCCCCCTCGGTGGTTTTTTTTTTTATGATATTTAAATTAGTGACTAATGAGATCTTAATAAGATATATTGCAGCTTTAGTCCCTTGAAAGTTTCAAAAAATTGATTTTAGATGAAATGGTCAATTCTTCGAGTGAAAAAACGGACGAACCTAAAGTGCTCTTCAAAACATTTTTATTCTGTTTTAGGTTTAGGTATGCCATACTCTAAAGAGGGATATGAGTTTAGATGGTCTTATGAAGATAGAGTGCTCAAGCATAAAAATAAAATATAAAAAGAGACACAAAATCACTCCACAAATACTTGAACATAGTTTATGGACTTTTGGTAACCGGTAGTCCCGGCGTGAGCCAGGAGCAATGTTTTCAGGTCGTCCGATTAATCGCGATGTCGGTCCCTGGTGTTCGATTAGGTGGACCGACTCGATTAGCTCGACCAGAAAACTGGTTGGTCCGATTAGTTGACGACTAATCGCGATTAGTCGTCCGACTAGAACAGGGACGACCAATTTGGTTACTCTGTTTTTGGGCCTGTTTAAGTGGGCGGATATGTGGGACTATTGAATGTCAATATTTTTGACTTTGCGTTGAACACTTTAGCTTATCTGTACTGAACTAATTTGGTTATGTAATATGATGGCTATGTGGCTACTATGGTCTACTAAATGTTAGTTATTTTGCTACTGCAATAGTGCTGCTGTTCAGGTGCGTCAAGATCAAGACTAATGCAGTCTTGATGCTTGCTTTATTATGTATACTATATAGTATATATATAGGTATATGTCCTGATATACATGAACAACTAGATGGACGACCAGGGTCGACTAATCGGCCTGGTCGATGACTAATCGTGATTAGTCTCCTGGTCGGTCCCATGGCGACCAGATTCGACCAGACGACCTGAAAATATTGGCCAGGAGTTCCGGCAGTCGGAAGTCCTGACATTCGGTGCCGGAAGTCCTGGCGATTGCTGACTTAGCCGCCAGCCCGCCTGCACACCATCGTTCGTCGAAAGTCCAGACGGGAATCGGGAGTTCCGAGTGCCAGAAGTCCCGGCTCCCGCCGGAAGTCCCGATGCCCTGGGACTTAGCCCTTTGGCTCGGCTGTGCGTCGGGAGTCCCGACTGCCGGAAGTTCCCGCATTCCGTCGGGAGTTTCGGCTCTGGCCGTGTTGACCATGTTTGACTGTGCCTTGAACAGTGTTTTGTAGAAGGGCCAGAAGTTCTGACGATCTGTGTCAAAACTTCCGACGCAGATCTGAACGGTTGGATTCTACTATGAGTATAAATAGCTCTCTCCTCACTTCTAACCATGGATGACTCACTCATTGCTCACCAACCTTCATCCAAAACAGCTTACAAGCATTCAAGGCTCCCCTCTCCTCTCCCCTTTGCTCCAATCTTTGATTCTCGTAGGGTTTTGAGTGAAACGAGAGTGAATTGAGTGAGAGAATCACTTTGGCAAGCTTGAGCACTTGGCTTCTTCATCAAACCGGTTGGATTTGCGTCTATTACTCTTGGGTTCTTGGAACCCTAGTCGGCTAGGCGTCGCCCAAGAGCTTCCATCTCGTGGAAGAGCCTTGGGAAGTTTATATTACCCTAGATTTGTTAGTGGAAAGCTCAAGTAACCTTTGTGGTTGCTTTAAAAGAGGCAAGAAGGTGGAAGAGACTTCGACCTTTGTGGTCACCTCAACAACAAGGACGTAGGAGCTCCTTTGTGGGGTTGTCGAACCTCAGGATACATTCTTGTGTCCCACGTGTTTGTTGTTGTTGTGGTTTGTGCTACCATATTTGTTCTTATTGGTTTATCTTCCTCCCTAACTCTCCTCTTAGGGTTTGGGCTCGATCTACGAAGTGGTGACCTTCCGGCGTCAAATAAGCAACCCCAACACTTCACCTTACCACTAGAGAGTGGGGTTGTAAGATATCTTTCACTCAAAGTTCATTTTAGCACTTGTACTGCAATTCTCGTAGGTGTCGGAACTCCCGGTTGTTGGCGTCGGAACTTTCGGGTGCCGAAAGTTTCGGCCCAAACTGTCGGGACTTCCGACTGTCACTGATATTTAACTTTGAGATTACGCAGAAATTTTTAGATATGCCTATTCATCCCCCTCTAGGCATTGTTTAGATCCTTTCAATTAGTATCAAAACGAGGTTTTCTTTTAGCGCTTCACCACGTGAGAAGAAACAATATCGGAGTTCGACAAGATGCAAGCCGATGCCACAGAGATGGCCAAAAAGATAGCTGAAGAGTTGATGGCTGCTCAAGTCAAGTTCTTCCAAGATGAAATAAAAAAGATGCAAGATAAGATGAGCAAGATGAAGGAAGAATTGAGCAAGAAGGTTGATGATGCAATAAGTGGTAAGAATGATGCAACAAGTGGCAAGAATGAAGCAAACAAAGATGCCGCTAGTGATATTGGAGCCGGTGAGCATACTCGTGGAAAGGGAATATATTCAAATATGAACTTCGACCATGGACAACTTATCAAAGGTTCACCTCTACATACTCCTTTCGTCAATATTAACAAGCCACCTCACTTTGATGGAATGAGATACACCAATTGGTCCTACAAAATAAAGATGCATCTTATTGCCGCAAGACTTTGGAAAGTTGTGGATGTTGATGTCATGATTCCTACCGATGAAGATAGAGAGATAACTCTGGAAGAAGTGCACAATCTCCATCAAAATGTACAAGCCGTAGCATTGCTTGTGTCAAGCCTAAGTCCGGATGAGATTTAAAGGTAAATGGAATGGAAAGTGCAAAGCAAATTTGGGATACTTTGAAAGTGTCATTTGAAGGAGATAAGAGTGTGAGAAAAGGCAACATTGAGTTACTTCATGGTAAATTGAAAAGATTTGTGTTCTTGCAAAATAAAACAACCCAATCCATGTTTGATAGGCTTATGGCATTGGTCAACCACATAAGAGCTCTTGGAAGCACCGAATGAGATGATAACAAGGTTGCTAGAAAGATGTTGAGAACCTATAGAGCCAAGAACAATATGTTAGCGTCCGTGATCATGGAAAGGCCCGGTTATGATGAGATGACACCCCAAGAAGTTCTTTCAAAACTCAAGATCATGAGTGTCTAGATGAAGATGCAATCAATGCTCACAATCAAAATCCTAATACAATGGGATACAACAAGAGTGCAGCCCTAAAGGCAACTCAAGCTCATGAAGGCAGATCTTCTAGTCAAGAGAAGAAGAAAATGAAGTATGATTCCTCAAGTGAAGAAGAAGAGTCCGATGAAGAAGTTGCACTCATCATTAGAAACTTTAGAAAGTTCATAAAGAAGAAGAGCAACCGGAAGACTTACGATGATGGGAAGAGAAGGAACAAGAAGAGGTTTTGCTATGGTTGTGGTCAAACCAGTCACTTCATAGCCGATTGTCCTAATGAGAAGAAGCACAAGTACAATAAGGATGAAGACAAGAAGAACAAAGGCAAGATGAGAGGTGAAGCTCATCTTGGTGAAGAGTAGGAGTCAAATGATAGTGACTCAAGTGTTGATGAGAAGAAAAAGAAGGGATCCGCAAACATCGCCATCCACCACTCTTCGTCACCAAACATGATCTTCTCCGACTCGACTTCACCACCAAAACTCTTTCCCAACTTATCTTCATCACCAAGGCTCTTCTCCAACCTCATCGACAACGACTACCATGCTCCAACTTGCCTTATGGCTAAGGGGGAGAAGGTACATGTCTCATCCGATCCCTATAGTGATGAGTATGATAGTTGTGATGAGAACATAGAAGAACTTGAAGCAACCATGATAAAGAAATTTGGTAAAAATCTAATAAAGAAATTAGAGAAGAGGGATAGATGCTTGGAGATGCAAGGAGACATAATCACTTAATAGAGAGACAAGAACCTCGCACTTGAAGCATCTATCGCCGAGGAAAAGATGAAGGTT